CAACTGGTGTTTTGTCTTGCACCGCTTTGGTCTGACATCTATTTAATAAGTAGATTGCAGTACTTGCTGCTTCTGCCTAAAAGGTTTTTAGAAGACATTTCTTCATTAGCATAGCTTTAGCAGTCTCCATTATTCTTTTGCGTATCTAACTGTGAGTTGATGCTTCATTCCTTTATCTTTACAAAACTTGTTGAATTTAATTGATGTGTATTCTTTACCTCTGCCACTTCTGTTTGCATTGATATTGCGACCACTTTGCTTTTCGACATAACTTTTGAACTTTTTGAAAATCTCAAAAACTTGGGATTTCTCGCACAAAAAATATACTCATGTCATTCTAGTGTAATCATTTATAAAGAGAATGAAATATCTGTTTTGCTAATGTGATGGAGTACGCATTAGACCGCATACATCTATATGTACCAACAGCTCTTTAGCTCTCCAAGTTTTTTCTGACTGAAATGGTTAACGGTTTTGTTTCCCGAGGACCCGAGCAAACATCATTCGTAAACTTCTTTAGTCTTTTTTATAACTGGTAAATCTCTCATCATGCTCTTTTCCTGAAGGATCTTCAACCTATGGAAGTAGAAGTGTCCAAATCTCCTGTGCCACAGCCATGACTCGTCGACTTGCATCGTCATTGCCGCAATGTTTGCGCATCTCCATTGAATTGGGAAGATCTGTTCTCTTACTTTTTGACTTTCGTAATTACAGGAGATTTATCTTTCTTGTCAATGATCGTGAAAGAATCTCCTTCAAAATGTAAAGTATATCCCTTCTTCATCATTTGACCTACACTTAGTAGATTTTGATCTATTNTCATAGATAGTGCAAGAATCTCCTGCAAAATATAAACTGTATCCTTTCTCCATCATCTGACCGACACTTAGTAGATTTTGATCTATTGTACGGACCAAGAGAACTTCATTGATGTATCTCTTGCCCTTTTTTGTATCAACGACAAAAGTGCATTTGCATGATGCCTCTATGAAATTTTCATTGCTAATTTTTATTTTTGTGTTTATTTTATCAAGATTGCAGAAAATATTTTCATCTTTCGTCACGTAATTAATTCAGCCATTGTCTAGATATTATGTATCTAATTCAGATGCATCCTTATTGGAGGCATAAAATAGACTTCCTTCTATATCATTTTTTCAGAAAAATTAGTTTGACGATTTTGTTTAAAATGACAAAAAATTAAAAAAAAAATTTCATGTCCAAATGTTTTTACAGCCACGGCACTATGATTTTCCTTTAAACCAACAATCATTTTCCAAATGATTTTTTCTTTTACAAAACCACATGGAGGATACTTACCGTTATTATAGATTTCTTTTCCTTGAA